CACTTCGCGGCTCCAAGCTTCAGGCACTTCTTGGTATACCCTAAAACCCTAAATCCTAAAATCTAGCACGAGCTTCAGATTCACCAGAGGTACTGACGGATGCTTCAAGCGTGTAGGCTAGGCGTGATGCTGTGCAGCTAAGAACCACAAATCCGAACAGCTCAAAAACCCGAGCCAGAACGTCTGACGCACCCGCAACCCCTGCATCATGACTTGCTCGCTCATTATAGGTGGCAAGAGTGCAAGCCCTTCGCCAACGCAACGACGTGCATCCCAGCTCTGTGCTACTTGCAGTCAGGGGGCGTCTTCCTCATGTCGTATGCATCCTCCTTGTCTGCATAGTACTTCTCCTCTATGTCTTGAATTTCGAAGCCCAAGGTCTCCGAATACAGGGAGAAGGCCGCTCTGTTGGTATAGCGGACCTGGACGAAATCATCCAATGCGGGCAGGTGTTGATTTTGCATCAGGTTACAAGCAGGCTACACATCATGTGCGTAAGTTGTGGTGAGGCCATAAGAGTGGGGTCGTGTAGAATGTAGTATGGGGGGCCTTGTGGCTGGAGTGCAAGGGACTGGTATTCGCAACTATCCAGGCGCCTATGTTGCAGGATGTACTTTGCTATAGGACTCTAACTCCTATGATACTGGGAACACGATGAAGCTAAAGCCTATCCCGTCGATGCTTTCTTTGAAGTCTGTAGGGTCTCGGGTCTAGAAGCGCCAAGCATTACAGCACAAACATACGACCACATAAATATACATACATAGCGGTTCATTGTACTCGGCAGACAGCTACATCAGATTCGCTTAGATTCGATTCGATAGATTGATAGACAGATAGACAGATGGACAGAGAGATAGATAGATAGATAGATAGATAGATAGATGGATAGATGCATCGACGGATAGATAGATAGATAGCTAGATAGATAGATAGGTAGCAAGGAAGATAGATCGATAACTAGATAGAGAAAGAAAGATAGATATATAGATAGGAAGACAGAAAGATAGATACATAGAAAGAGAAAGAACGAAATAAATATAGATAGATAGGCGGGTAGGTTGGTCGGTAGGTAGGTAGG